GTATGTGTGTTTGTGTGTATATGTATGTGTGTGTTTGTGTATATGTATGTGTGTGTGTGTATATGTATGTGTGTGTGTATGTGTGTGTATATGTATGTGTGTGTTTGTGTATATGTATGTGTGTGTTTGTGTGTATGTTTGTGTGTGTTTTTGTGTGTTTTTTTTGTGTTTTGTGTGTGTGTGTGTGTATATGTATGTGTGTGTGTATGTGTGTGTGTATGTGTGTATTTCTTGCTGCTCTGATGTTCAGACACATTTCATCTGAGTTTATACAAATGAACCACAAACTTTAATCTGATCTACACCACTGCAGTAGTAATAATGTTTGTAGTAGTATTCACAGTACTGTAGTAGTAGTAGTATTTGTAGTATTTGTAGTGTAGATTGACAGTAAAAGTGGAGAGTAAAATGAGGACAGGAGGCGTCTCTGGTGCCACTCGGGTTTATTGTGGCGTCGCTTTAAGGCTCTGACCAAAACTCACCAAGATCAAGGGACATTCAACCAGACCAGGACCAGGACCAGACCAAGACCAAGACCAAGACCAGGACCAGGACCAAGCCAGGACTTAATTAGGTCTGACCCAGATCCAAACCAGGACTAAAGCAGATCTCGTTCAGAGTCAAACCCGGGAGGAAGAAGAAGAAGAAGAGGTCACCAAACTCCACCCACAAAAACACACGTCTGTGCGCAAATCCATTTTCCGCTGAAAACTCGCCCCGACAAGTCTCGAGACTCAACCCGACGGTTCTGGAGACTCGACCCGACGGTTGTGGAGACTCTGGCCGAGAGTCGGGTCGTGCCTCCTGCGCAGACTCGTGTGTTTTTGAGGCTGGAGTTCGGTGTTACAGGAAACAGTGAAAAAACGGGACCAAAATGGAAAAGTACAAAAGCAGGACTCAGAGTTTTGGATGTGAACATGGTCCATGAGGAGACGATGCAGCGCTGGACTCAGGACAGGACCAAAAACAATCACCTACACTTTTGACCTTTGACCTTTGCCCTCGGGCCAAGCGTCTCAACATTTTGGCTTTTAGCATTTTGGTTTAAACTCAAATGAAATAAATCTGAAAAATAATCTGAAATGTGTTTGTGTTTCTCTCCTGAGTCCAACTCTGCAGGATCTGTACACCTGTACTTCAGAGAGTACACGTCTGTAGTACCTGTACTTCAGAGAGTACACGTCTGTAGTATTTGTACTTCAGAGAGTACACGTCTGTAGTATTTGTACTTCAGAGAGTACACATCTGTAGTATTTGTACTTCAGAGAGTACACGTCTGTAGTATTTGTACTTATTGTGAAAACCATAAACAATAAATAAACTTCACTTTTGACACTTTTGGTGGAGGTCGGGAGGTTTTAGGAAGTTTTTTTTTCATCAGGGCAGATTTCAGTCGAGTCCATCATTTTAAACAGAGGTTCCACTGAGTTCCACCGAGCGGCGGCGGCGGCGGCGGCGCTGTGACCACACGCTGTAAACGCAAAACTTTTCTGTTACAGAGCTTTTAGAGGCTTGTGATTGGTGCAAACTTTGGCGAGGGGCGGGGCTTCCTGGGCCCAAAGTGACACGAGATCAAACACACACGACACACACACGACACACACACAACAAACGCACAACAAATGCACAACAAACGCACAACAAATGCACGTCTCAAATATAAAGTGTGTAGCTGCAGTGAGGGCTGTAGTGTTTAACACGTGACACGAGTGTGTGTGACACGAGTGTGTGTGACATGTGTGTGACGTGTGTGTGACGTGTGTGTGACGTGTGTGCGTCGCTCGGGGCGTCAGTGGAGCCTCTGTAGTTGTAGTTTTTTCTTCAGGTTTTTCTTGTAAACGCGGTGATTCGGATCCTTCGTTGGACACAGAGCCTAAAGATCCTCCTTCAGACGGCGGTGGGCGGGGCGTGGGGGCAGGATGGCACGTGATTGGCTGCGGCGGGCGCCCGTCACAGAGCCTTGCCCTCCAGGGACACGACCACGGGACCCCCCAGTTTCTCCGCCAGGTTCGAACGGTCCTGGATGTCGTCAAGACCGTTCACCTGCCACTCGTGTTTGATACCTGCACGAAAACAGGATTAAACCAGGATTAAACCAGGACTAAACCAGAACTGAACCAGGACTAAACCAGGACTAAACCAGGACTAAACCAGAACTGAACCAGGACTAAACCAGGACTGAACCAGGAGGAAATGTAACAGTAGATGTTTTAGAGTTTGCTCAAGCAGCACTATAAAAGTAACTGAGTTACTCCACTATAAAAGTAACTGAGTTACTCCACTATAAAAGTAACTGAGTTACTCCACTATAAAAGTAACTGAGTTACTCCACTATAAAAGTAACTGAGTTACTCCACTATAAAAGTAACTTTTGCGTTCCTTTTTTTAAACGGTGCAGTAGATTTATGTGTCATGTGGTTCTTTGTTCCACACTCAGATAATCACATGTTCTTCATCAGTTTAGTTCCACATTTGGTTTTTAAATAAAAATCCTGTTGCTAAACCGACCAGACCTCAGTGAGCTTCATTTGACTGGAGCTGACACACTCCGGGACACGACACACTCCGGGACACGTCACACTCCGGGACACGGTCACACTCCGGGACACGGTCACACTCCGGGACACGGTACACACACTCCGGGACACGGTCACACTCCGGGACACGGTCACACTCGACACGGTCACACGGGACACGGTCACACTCGGGACACGGTCACACTCGGGACACGGTCACACTCGGTCACACTCGGACACGGTCACACTCCGGACACGGGACACGGTCACACTCCGGGACACGGTCACACTCCGGACACGGTCACACTCCGGGACACGGTCACACTCCGGGACACGGTCACACTCCGGGACACGGTCACACTCGGGACACGGGACACGGTCACACTCGGGACACGGTCACACTCCGGGACACGGTCACACTCCAGGACACGGTCACACTCCGGGACACGGTCACACTCGGGACACGGTCACACTCCGGGACACGGGACACGGTCACACTCCGGGACACGGTCACACTCGGGACACGGTCACACTCCAGGACACGGTCACACTCCAGGACACGGTCACACTCACACGGTCACACGGGACACGGTCACACTCGGGACACGGTCACACTCGGGACACGGTCACACTCGGACACGGTCACACTCCGGGGACACGGTCACACTCGGGACACGGTCACACTCACGGTCACACTCCGGGACACGGTCACACTCCGGACACGGTCACACGGTCACAGGACACGGTCACACTCCGGACACGGTCACACTCCAGGACACGGTCACACTCCAGGACACGGTCACACTCCAGGACACGGTCACACTCAGGACACGGTCACACCAGGGACACACGGTCACACTCCAGGACACGGTCACACTCGGGACACGGTCACACTCGGGACACGGTCACACTCCAGGACACGGTCACACTCCAGGACACGGTCACACTCCAGGACACGGTCACACTCCAGGACACGGTCACACTCCAGGACACGGTCACACTCCAGGACACGGACACTCCACACACACTCACAGGACACGGTCACACTCGGGACACGGTCACACTCCAGGACACGGTCACACTCCAGGACACGGTCACACTCCAGGACACGGTCACACTCACAGGACACGGTCACACGGTCACACTCACAGGACACGGTCACACTCACACGGTCACACGGGACACGGTCACACTCGGGACACGGTCACACTCGGACACGGTCACACGGGACACGGTCACACTCGGTCACACTCGGACACGGTCACACTCGGGACACGGTCGGACACGGTCACACTCCAGGACACGGTCACACACGGGGACACGGTCACACTCGGGGACACGGTCACACGGACACGGTCACACTCGGGACACGGTCACACTCGGGACACGGTCACACTCGGGACACGGTCACACTCGGGACACGGTCACACTCGGTCACACAGGACACGGTCACACTCCAGGACACGGTCACACTCCAGGACACGGTCACACTCCAGGACACGGTCACACACTCGGGACACGGTCACACAGGACACGGTCACACTCCAGGACACGACACACACTCACACGGGTCACACGGACACGGTCACACTCTCACACTCACACGGTCACACGGACACGGTCACACTCCAGGACACGGTCACCCTCCAGGACACGGTCACCCTCCAGGACACGGTCACACTCGGACACGGTCACACTCGGGACACGGTCACACTCCAGGACACGGTCACACTAGGGACACGACACACTCCAGGACACGACACACTCCAGGACACGGTCACACTCCAGGACACGGTCACACTCCAGGACACGGTCACACTCGGGACACGGTCACACATTTGTGGGTCAGAGGTCAGAGGGGTTTTACCTGTAAACTTCTTTTTGATGGCGTCTTTGGAGCTGGCGTAGATCATCTTACTCTTCAGAGGAGCGCCCTCTGGAGCCCTGGACACACAACACACACAACGTCACACAACACATGTTTGTGTGAACATGTAACATGAACACAAATGTTCAGGATCACAACAAACTCACTGTTATAATTTAAACACAACACACAAAAACATTTACACACAACAGAACAATCCACACACTCACAAGTGTTCAACTGAACACACACACTGAACACACACACACCTGAACACACACACACACACACACCTGAACACACACACACACACCTGAACACACACACGCACACACACTGAACACACACACGCACGTGCACCATCCCATATTTAAGAAATAAACAGAAACACAGAGTCAGACCCCAAACCCTCCCTCACCTGCATCATTACAACAGCAGCACTACACTAACAGTAGTAGTAGTATTTGTTGTAGTAGTAGTATTTGTTGTAGTAGTAGTAGTAGTAGTAGTAGTAGCGTGTACATACCAGAAGACAAAGACCAGGTCCTCCTTCTTGCTCTCGCGCGTCTCGTACGTGGCGTCGTACAGGCAGTAGCGACAGTCTTTGGGCGGGAGCATTTGGACGAAGCAGGCGTACGGGTCGTCCACCGTGTCGCCGATGTCGCCCACCAGGATCTGTTTCCCCTCCTCCACGATGATCTTCCTGCTGTCGTCCGACAGACAGAACAGCACCGCCTTCTTACGCTTCTTCACGTCCTCCTGCGACGAAGACTTACGCACCTTCATCTCATTGAACACTTTGATCACCTCGTCGTTCACGGTCACGCCGGACGCCTGCGGGGACGGGGACGGAGACGGACAGAGACAGAGACACAGACGGAGGTTAGACACTCGCCTTTAGAGGAGTGTGACCCCTGTGTGACCCCAGAGGACAGAGACGTTTGTCCAATCAGAACAGAGAACCAGCCTCATGTGACTTTTTCAAACTGTTGGGCCAATCCTGAAACTCCTCTGATCTGAACACATCTACAACCAGACCAGGTTTAGACCTGGTTTAGTCCTGGTTTAGTCCTGGTTTAGTCCTGGTTTAGTCCTGGTTTAGTCCTGGTTTAGACCTGGTTTAGACCTGGTTTAGTCCTGGTTTAGTCCTGGTTTAGTCCTGGATTAGTCCTGGATTAGTCCTGGATTAGTCTTGGTTTAGTCCTCGTTCAGTCCAGGTTTAGACCTGGTTTAGACCTGGTTTAGACCTGGTTTAGACCTGGTTCAGTCCAGGTTTAGACCTGGTTTAGACCTGGTTTAGATCTGGTTTAGACCTGGTTCAGGGTCAGAGCGCCCCCTGCAGCTCGTGTCTGAAACATGAGCCAGCAGCTTGGCTCGGCTCCTGATTGGTCGGCTGCGGTGAGAGCCGCTCTGTGATTGGTCGGCTGTGGTGAGAGCCGCTCTGTGATTGGCCGGCTGTGGTCATGAGTCAGCAGGTTGTTTATAGCTCATGACACAGCTGAAAGGGGAGGTGTCTTGCCCATGGACACAGAGGCAGAGCTCGAGCTGCCAGAGTCACCGCAACCAAATCTACAGAGTGAGTCAGAGTCAGAGACGAGTTTAAACACGAAGAAAAATACAAAGAAAATACAAATATTCAACCTTTTCAGAGACGCAGCAGAAACAGAAACGTACCAATCTTTAGGAAAAAGACAAAAGGAGAAATTCAGTCGACTGGACAAAGTTTATTTAGTTCAATCTGTTTCTCTGCTCGTGCAGCGGCTTCAGCTCCGACTGATCTTTATAAATTATTATTGATTATAAATTATTATTATTATTATTATTACAGACCTGTGTGTTTTTGTGCGTTTGATTTTTCATCTCATTTAAAGTCGAACGTGTAAAGAAACAGGACGATGTTCTGAACGAGCAGAACGTCACTCGAGCCTCTGGACTGTTGAAGATTCAGATAAACGACGCTTTTTTGGAACATGAAATGTTTTTAATCTTTTGGTTTTCTTTATTTTGTGTCTTTGTTAAATGTTCTCAGAGCAAAGAGTTTATGTTCTGCCTCCAGAGCTTTTTAAAAATGTTCAAATAAATTAACTCTAAACTTTAAACTCTAAAGTTCGAATATAAAATGTGAACAGAATCTGTTTTTTTAAACAGATTCTCGGCTCAAATCCCTGTGGGACCGGGACCAGGACCAGGACCAGGACCGGGACTTCTTTGGTTCTGTAGCAGGTCCTGTCGATGACATCACACAATGGCCCAGAGGCCAAAGGTCAGAGATAGAGCCAGGTGCGTCCGATCCTCTCGACCAATCAGAGTTCAGGACACTGAACGAGTTTTATGACGAAGAAAAAAACACAAAACCTGCTCATATGACAGGAAGGGCATCTGGTATAAAACACACACACCTGCCCAATCACAGCAACGATCTGACCTAAACCTGACCCCTGACCCCCGACCCCGACTCTACAGACCCAGAACACCTCACAGGTTCTCCTGGGTCCACATGAAGGACGAGCAGGAAACAACAGAAGATGAACAAAAGGAGGATGAAACAGCACCGCACACGACCCGGTACCGTCCCGTTTGGACCCGGTACCGTCCCGTTTGGACCCGGTACTGTCCCGTTTGGAACGAGCACAAAAATCTGACACTAACTTAAAGTTTGTGTTAAAAGTTTCCAGGTGGAGTTCCAGAGTGACCCGCCCGGAGTGACCCGCCCGGACCTGCGGCTCCCTGCGGCTCCGAGTTTGAATGAACCGAGAAAAGTTGGAGCGAGTTTGAGCCGAACTCTCCCGCGTCACTAAAGCACTTTACGGTTTATTTCACAGACTCAGACTCCCAGCGGCTCCGGGGCTCCGCGGGGCTCCGGAGGCGGCGGGCAGACCTCCGGCCTGTCCCCGGGACGAGCCGCTGTGTCCGGGCTCAGAGAGACTCTCCTCTCCGCCTCCGGACTCCAGCTCCGGCCGCAAGATGGCCGCCGCCGCCGCCGCCGCCGCCGCCACTGCCGCCGCTGCCGCTGCCGCCGCGGGCCCAAGCCTCCGGGGCAGTCCGGTCCATAAGCGGCCTGAGGCGGAGCCGGGGGGGACGGAACAGACTCAGAGACACTCAGGAGACACCCCGGGGTCACTCGGAGACACTCGGAGACACTCAGAGACACTAAACTTCACCCGCGGGACGATGATTTAAAACATTAAATAAAATAAAGCGGAGCTCGGGCCGCGCGGCGCGGCGCGTGCGCTAGCGTCAATCAGAGCGTGATGCTAAAGCTAACGGCTAACCCCGGTCCTTCCTCAGCCCAAACTAAACCAAACTCACTGTACCGGATTAAACCCGCTCCTTCCTCCCGGGAGGACGCGTGTTTCCCCCGGGCCCGGAGCACCGGAGCGGACCGCCGCTTTTATAATGTTTGATTCTTTTATAGATGGTGACGGAGCGCGGCGGAGCGCAGACGCAGCGGAGCGGAGCCGCGGCTCCTACATTCCATTTGTCCGTCACGTTTCCGCCGCGGCCGCTTCAGCCGCTTCACCGGATTCACCGGAAAACTGCGCGGCTCGTTAATTTCACCGACACAGACGCGTCGCGTGTCAAAGCCCCGCGGCGCTGAGGCGTCTGCGCGGCGAACAGGAGCCGCTACAGCGCACGACGCGCCGGGTTAGCCGCGTTTAGCCGCGTTTAGCCGCGTTTAGCAGCGTTTAGCCGCGTTTAGCCGCGTTTAGCCGCGTTAGCTTCGTCCAGGCGAATAACGGTCCGCGGCGCCGGAGCTCCGAGCAGCGGGACTCGCGGAGCTCTGAGGCCGCGGACAGACGCTCCACACACGGACAGTGTGAGGCGGGGACACGGGGCTCGGGACCGGGCGCACTCACCATGGTTCCCTCGGTTCTTGGCCGTAGATCGGGGCTGGTTGTCGGTGAAAGGAGCTCTGAGCGGCGGGAGGGAATGAGGCCGAAACCGGAGACAGAGGCGGGACCTGGGACCGAGGGGCGGGGACACGAAAGACTGACAGCTGCGGGGACAGGCCGGGACAGGCCGGGACAAACCGAGACAGACCGGGACAGACCGAGACAGACCGGGACAGACCGAGACAGACCGGGACAGACCGAGACAGAGGAGGGACAGACCGGGACAGAGGAGGGACAGACCGGGACAGACCGGGACAGACCGAGACAGACCGAGACAGACCGAGACAGAGGAGGGACAGACCGAGACAGACCGGGACAGACCGGGACAGACCGGGACAAACCGGGACAGAGGAGGGACAGACCGAGACAAACCGGGACAGAGGAGGGACAGACTGGGACAGAGGAGGGACAGACCGAGACAAACCGGGACAGGCCGAGACAGACTGGGACAGAGGAGGGACAGACCGGGACAGACCGGGACAAACCGAGACAGAGGAGGGACAGACCGGGACAGACCGAGACAGACCGAGACAGACCGGGACAGAGGAGGGACAGACCGGGACAGACCAAGACAGACCGGGACAGGAGGGACAGACCGGGACAGACCGAGACAGAGGAGGGACAGACCGAGACAGACCGAGACAGAGGAGACAGACCGAGGGACAGACCGAGACAGAGGAGGGACAGACCGAGACAGAGGAGGGACAGACCGGGACAGACCGGAGACCAGAGACCGGACAGACCGAGACAGACCGGACAGACCGGGACCAGACCGGGACAGACCGGGACAGACCGAGACAGACCGGGACAGACCGGGACAGACCGAGGACAGACCGGGACAGACCGGGACAGAGGAGGGACAGACCGAGACAGACCGGGACAGACCGAGACAGACCGAGGACAGAGGAGACAGACCGAGACAGACCGAGGGACAGACCGAGGGACAGAGGAGGGACAGACCGGGACAGAGGAGGGACAGACCGGGACAGGACCGAGACAGACCGGGACAAGACCGGGACAGAGACAGACCGGGACAGACCGGGACAGAGACAGAGGGACAGACCGAGACAGACCGGGACAGAGGAGGGACAGACCGGACAGAGGAGGGACAGACCGGGACAGAGGAGGGACAGACCGGGACAGACAGGAGACAGACCGGGACAGAGGAGGGGACAGACCGGGACAGACCGAGACAGACCGGGACAGAGGGACAGACCGGGACAGACCGAGACAGACCGGACAGACCGGGACAGACCGGAGACAGACCGAGACAGACCGGGACAGAGACCGGACAGACCGGGACAGGAGGGACAGACGGGACAGACCGAGGGACAGACCGGGACAGACCGAGGACAGACCGGACAGACCGGGACAGAGGAGGGAGAGGGACAGACCGGGACAGAGGAGGACAGACCGGGACAGACCGAGACAGACAGGAGACAGACCGGGACAGAGGAGGGACAGACCGGGACAGACCGGGACAGACCGGAGACAGACCGGGACAGACCGGGACAGGACCGAGACAGACCGGGACCGGGACAGAGGAGGGACAGACCGGGACAGAGAGGGACAGGACCGGGACAGACCGAGACAGACAGAGACAGACCGGGACAGAGGAGGGACAGACCGGGACAGACCGGGACAGACCGGGACAGACCGAGACAGACCGGACAGACCGGGACAGGCCGGGACAGACCGGGACAGACCGGGACAGAGGCGGGACAGACAGACGAGACAGAGGAGGGACAGACCGGGGACAGAGAGGGACAGACCGGGACAGACCGGGACAGGCCGAGACAGACCGGGACAAGCAGAGAAAGACCGGGACAAACCGGGACAGAGGAGGGACAGACCGAGACAAACCGGGACAGGCCGAGACAGACTGGGACAAACCGGGACAGAGGAGGGACAGACCGGGACAGACCGAGACAGAGGAGGGACAGACCGGGACAGACCGAGACAGACCGGGACAGGAGGGACAGACCGGGACAGACCGAGACAGACCGAGACAGACCGGGACAGACCGGGACAGAGGAGGGACAGACCAGGACAGAGGAGGGACAGACCGGGACAGACAGAGACAGACCGGGACAGACGAGGGACAGACCGGGACAGACCGGGACAGAGAGGAGGGACAGACCGGGACAGACCGAGACAGACCGGGACAGGACCGGGACAGACCGGGACAGACCGGGACAGGCCGAGACAGACCGAGACAGACCGGGACAGACCGGGACAGACCGGGACAGGACCGAGACAGACTGGGACAAACCGGGACAGAGGAGGGACAGACCGAGACAGAGGAGGGACAGACCGAGACAGACCGGGACAGAGGAGGGAGGGTTATTTTTCAGATTGAAAAAGAATAAACCAGGAGTGAACAAGGAAGTAATGGAGAACTAAGAACAAAAGGACTAAGAACAAAAGGACTAAACCAGGTCTAAACCAGGACTAAACCAGGACTAAAAGAAGCAGAGGACGTGAGTTTGTTTATAAAACCTCATTTATTTTTACATTTGATTCAAACAAAACCAGTGGAAAAACACAAACAGATTTTAATAAATACAAGAGGAATAAACTAAAGCAGTAGTTCAACACGACCAAAGACAAAAAACTACAACTCAAATACATTTCCCACAGGCCCCAACGCCGGGGTCACGCCGGGGTCACGCCGGGGTCACGCCGGGGTCACGCCGGGGTCAGAACAGGAGGGTCTCAGCACGAAGAACACAAAACATCGGCAGACGGGCGCGGCAGGCGGGGGCGGCAGACGGGCGGCAGGGACTTAAGAGATGCTTTTGGTTTTAGTTTTTGAAGTGAAATGTGTTTGTTTATCTTCTGTCTGGTTTAAACGGCTCATTCGTAAAATCATTTTTTTCTGACTAAAAATGTGAAAGTCTAAATATTTTGCACCGAGCAAAAAGGAAACAAACAAACTGAAACTGAAAGTGTCGCCTGCTCCAATTTATCTCCAGAACAAATTCTATAAATTAGAAAAATGATGAAATGAAACATGAATTAAATAAAGTGTAAAGCTCCTGTCTGCTCCTGCCTGCCCCTGTCTGCTCCTGTCTGCTCCTGCCTGCCCCCGTCTGCAGGTATTTGGACCAATGGGAGAGTTTCCTGAGATCACGTGACCAGGACAAGCGTCTGTGAAATATTCAGAAAAAAATGAAAAATGACCTGAAGCTTTGCTACAAATGATAAAGCTGAAAAAATGAGCTGAAATCTGCTGTCTGATTGCTGCTGCTGCCTGTCTGCTCCTGCCTGCCCCTGTCTGCTCCTGTCTGCTCCTGCCTGCCCCCGTCTGCAGGTATTTGGACCAATGGGAGAGTTTCCTGAGATCACGTGACCAGGACAAGCGTCTGTGAAATATTCAGAAAAAAATGAAACTTACAGTTTTGACCTGAAGCTTTGACACATTTACAATTTTATAGAAAAAATAAAGTCTGAAACGGGACGAATGAAGCTTTAAGGCGGCGGAGGGTTTATCAAAAAATCCTGAGACATTTTCACGCAGATTTAAATTTATTCTTTGATTTAAAACAAAAGTCCAAATTCCCCTGAGGTTTCTAAGTTTGATTTGATTTTGAGCGTCGCGTCGGGAAACGGGGCAGAGGAACAAACAGGAACAATGTTTAAACAGCTCATTTATTTAACCATCGTTTTAGGAGGATTTAGTTTTTAATATTTAAACACTAAAACTTTATTTCACCCAAAACTCAAAGTGAAAAGAAACATTTATGTCTCTAATGTTTGGTCACTTTTACTCCAACTGTTTTTAGTTCAGTGTGCACTCCGTTTGACAGAGATTCATCTAAACCTGATCCAAGACCGGACTAGACCAGGACCGGACCAGGACCAGACCAGGACCAGACCAGGACCAGACCAGATAGAAGTAAAACATTTATAAACCACAGTCCAATCCCCAGTTCTTTCTTCTCTCCTCAAGGTCTGGAGCGTTTTGAGGCAGGTTCTTCTCCGGTCCACGGTCCGGTCCACGGTCCAGGCCCTGCTCAGTGCCTGCCGCGCTTTGCTGCAGGCTCCTCTCGGGTCGGGTCTCTCGGGTCTCTCGGGTCTCCCTGGCGTCCCGAGTCAGTCCGATCTTGTGGAGCTCGGCGTGGAAGTGCTGCTGGAGCCTGAGTCCAGCTTTGGCCTCGTTGCTGTGTCGGGGGTTGTACTGGAGACAGTTGGAGAACATGAGCTCCACATCAGCCACGAACTCACCTGGAACAAACACACACACCAAGAAAACACTCAGGTCATCACACTGAAGTCATCACACTCAGGTCATCACACTCAAGTCATCACACTCAAGTCATCACACTCAAGTCATCACACTCAAGTCATCAAACTCAAGTCATCAAACTCAAGTCATCAAACTCAAGTCATCAAACTCAGGTCACGTACAGCTGAGGGCACTAACCCACACACACACGGACCATGCTGCTTTGCTTCAAGTCAAACAAATTTAAAATCTGATTCTGAAACCAGAGACGCAGCACCTGCCCCCAGAGAACCTTCAGACTATAGACAGGTGCATCTGACAGGTGCATCTGACAGGTGCATCTGACAGGTGCATCTGACAGGTGCATCTGACAGGTGCATCTGACAGGCGCGGCGTACCTGCAGAGTGATATTCACAGTTGTTGACTTTCTCTCTGATGGTGCTCAGGGCGATCGGACGCTTCACGATGTCGTAATAATCTGGAACCTGAAACACAAACGGCAACGCTTCACTTCACATCCGGTTCAGACCTGAGTCCGGACCTGAGTCCGGACCAGAGTCCAGTCCAGAGTCCAGTCCAGAGTCCAGTCCAGAGTCTGGACCAGAGTCGCAGGGCGGTCGGGTCGTCGAGTAGTGGGGTGGCCGGGGCGGTCGGGTCGTCGGGTCGCGGGGCGGTCGGGTCGTCGGGTCGCGGGGCGGTCGGGTCGTCGGGTCGCGGGGCGGTCGGGGTCGCGGGTCGGTCGGGTCGTCGGGTCGCGGGCGGTCGGGTCGTCGGGTCGCGGGCGGTCGGGTCGTCGGGGGTCGTCGGTCGGGTCGGTCGGTCGTCGCGGTCGGGTCGTCGGGTCGTCGGGCGTCGTCGTCGTCGGGTCGTCGGGTCGCGGGGCAGTCAGGGCGGTCGGTCGGGTCGGTCGGGCGGTCGAGTCGTCGGGTCGCGGGGCGGTCGAGTCGGTCGGGTCGGTCGGGTCGTCGCGGTCGAGTCGTAGGGTCGCGGGGCAGTCAGGGGTCGGGTCGTCGGGTCGGGTCGCGGGGTCGTCGTCGGGTCGCGGGGCAGTCAGGGCGGTCGGGTCGTCGGGCGGTCGGGTCGCGGGGCGGTCGAGTCGTAGGGTCGCGGGGCAGTCAGGGCGGTTGGGTCGTCGAGCGGCGGGGCGGCGGATCCGCGGGCGTACCTGAGTGCGGGACACGAGCTTCATGAAGGGCCAACTGTCTTCGTGTCTCACCAGCTCGACGGTGAGCAGCTCGCAGGCCGACAGCTCGTGGACGCCCTGACTCCTGCCGGACGACCTCCTGCTGCCCGAGACGCCCGAGGAGACGCCGGGGAGGAGCCCCGACGGCAGCACGGGGCGGGCGGCCGGGGGGGCGGGCTGGGGGCTGGTCTTGGGGGTGGTTTTTGGGGTGGTCTTGGGGGTATTTTTGGGGGCGCCGCTCTTCCCGTTGTGCGTGACCTCGAGGCTGAGGCGGGCGCTGCTGCGGCTGCCCGCTCTGGGCGGAGCTTTGGACGAGGGCGGAGACTTTTTACCCGACAACCTGAAGAAGGAAACAAGAAGAATTCTGTTACGGAGACGTTTCAGGAGCCGCCGTTTACGACCAACGAACAACACAAAGAAACAACCGAGCTGCACGACAGGGACCCACGACAGGGACCTGCCAGAGAGAGACCTGAGGGACCTGAGGGACCGACCTGGAGGCGGGCTTTGCTGCAGACCCGGTGGTTTTGGGCGTGGCCTGCTGGCTCCTGGACGATGCTGATTGGTTCTTTCCCTTCGGAGGCGGAGCCGAGCCTCTCCTGCTGCAAACAGAGGCGACAGGTGTGAGAGCGACAGGTGAGAGTGACAGGTGAGAGAGCGACAGGTGAGAGAGCAACATGTGACAGAGCGACAGGTGATAAACCTTGAGAGTTCTCACCTGGGCGGGGGGTTCTCCTCCTCTTCCTCCTCGTCGTCGTCGTCTTCGTCGTCGTCTTCTTCGCTGTCTTCCGTCTCTTCGTCCTGATCGTCGTCGTCTTCTTCTTCCTCGTCGTCGTCGTCGTCTTCCTCGTCTTCGTCGATGGAGCTCCTGGTTCTGGAGGGGATTCTGCTGGACCTCTGTTTGGGTTTACAGTCGGGACAGAACCAGTCTCCACTGGGGACAGACTGAGACACAAACACGCGACCAGAGTCACACGACCAGAGTCACACGACCAGAGTCACACGACAAGAGTCACACGACCAGAGTCACACGACCAGAGTCACACTTCAGGTCGAGCTGTGTGTCCAACAGTGTGTATGGTGCCCTCGATCGCACCCGTCACACAGCAGCATGTAGTGTGTCTGTGTCTGTGTGTGTGTGTGTACCTTGAGTTTGGGTCGCACACAGTGTGTATGGTGCCCTCGGTCGCACCCGTCACACAGCAGCATGTTGTGTGTCTGTGTCTCTGTGTGTGTGTGTGTGTGTGTACCTTGAGTTTGGGTCGCACACAGTGTGTATGGTGCCCTCGGTCGCACCCGTCACACAGCAGCATGTTGTGTGTCTGTGTGTGTTGTGTGTCTGTGTGTGTGTGTCTGTGTCTGTGTGTGTGTGTCTGTGTGTGTCTGTGTGTCTGTGTGTGTGTGTGTGTGTGTCTGTGTACCTTGAGTTTGGGTCGCACACAGTGTGTATGGTGCCCTCGGTCGCACCCGTCACACAGCAGCATGCTGTCGGCGTCTCCTTTCCTTCGGCAGATTCGGCACCGAGCGTTTAACAGAGAACGAGACCAGAGCACCGAGCGCTCCAGGGTCGACAGGTGCACAAACACCTGCCACAGACAGGACAGGTGAGACAGGTGAGACAGAGGCGGGTGAGGCGGGTGAGACAGGTGAGACGGGTGAGACAGGTGAGACGGGTGAGGCGGGTGAGACAGGTGAGACAGGTGAGACGGGTGAGGCGGGTGAGGCAGGTGAGGCGGGTGAGGCGGGTGAGGCGGGTGAGGCGGGTGAGGCGGGTGAGGCGGGTGAGACGGGTGAGACAGGTGAGACGGGTGAGGCGGGTGAGGCGGGTGAGGCGGGTGAGGCGGGTGAGGCGGGTGAGACGGGTGAGACGGGTGAGAGGCGGGTGAGGCGGGTGAGGCGGGTGAGGCGGGTGAGACAGGTGAGACGGGTGAGGCGGGTGAGACGGGGGTGAGACAGGTGAGGCGGGTGAGACGGGTGAGACAGGTGAGACGGGTGAGGCGGGTGAGGCGGGTGAGACAGGTGAGACGGGTGAGGCGGGTGAGGCGGGTGAGGCGGGTGAGACAGGTGAGGCGGGTGAGGCAGGTGAGACGGGTGAGTGTTACCTGTGACAGACTGGAGCAGCAGCTCAGAGACTCTCTCCACCGCTCCAACACAGACCTGCCCCCACGACCCCCGTCACATACATCTGCAAATACACACAACACACACATGCACACAACACACACACAGAGACACAGACACACACAGAGACACAGACACACACAGAGACACACACACCACAGAGACACACACACACACACCACAGAGACACACACACACACACACACACAGACACACACACCACAGAGACACACACACACACACACAGAGACACAGACACAGACACACACACCACAGAGACACACACACAGACTTGTTAGAACTGTGTAAAGAATCAAAAATCTGATACTAATTGACACTAAACCCAACACTGACGCTCGCTCCTCGTGTTCCTCACGTCTGTCTCCTAAAACAGTCCCACAGACAGAACCTTCAGAACCTACAGAACCTTCAGAACTTACAGAACCTTCAGAACCTACAGAACCTTCACAACCTACAGAACCTTCAGAACGTTTCCTGAATGTGTCTAGAACGATCTGGAGCTGGATCAGAACAAGTGTAAGAGCACAGAGACTAGAACACACACATAGTCCAGGTTTAGTCCAGGTTTAGTCCAGGTGTAGTCCAGGTGTAGTCCAGGTGTAGTCCAGGTGTAGTCCAGGTGTAGTCCTGGACCACTGAGGGATTTCACAGATATGGAAAGGAAACATGGGAATAGAAAATAAAGTTCTGCTATTTACTGTGGAAAATCACAGAATTTTGACTAAACAAAAAGAGTTTGATCTTTATATTTTCATTGTGGATCAGAATCTGTCTGTCTGTCGAGTCTGGAGTGTCGAGTCTGGAGTGTCGAGTCTGGAGTGTCGAGTCTGGAGTGTCGAGTCTGGAGTGTCGAGTCTGGAGTGTCGAGTCTGGAGTGTCGAGTCTAGAGTCTGATTCTTTGTGTTTCTGAACAGTTTAAATTTCTCTGTTGAGTCACAAAACTCAAGAGTGTGAGGAGAGAGTGAGGAGAGTGTGAGGAAAGAGTGAGGAGAGAGTGAGGAGAGTGTGAGGAGACAGTGAGGAGAGAGTGAGGAGAGTGTGAGGAGAGTGTGAGGAGAGAGTGAGGAGAGAGTGAGGAGAGTGAGTGAGGAGAAAGTGAGGAGAGAGTGAGGAGAGAGTGAGGAAAGAGTGAGGAGAGAGTGAGGAGAGAGTGAGGAAAGAGTGAGAAGAGAGTGAGAGAGAGAGTGAGAGTGAGGAGAGAGTGAGGAGAGTGAGGAGAGAGTGAGGAGAGAGTGAGGAGAGAGTGAGGAGAGAGTGAGGAGAGAGTGAGGAGAGAGTGAGGAGAGAGTGAGGAGAGAGTGAGTGGAGGAGAGTGAGGAGAGTGTGAGGAGAGTGAGGAGAGAGTGAGGAGAGAGTGAGGAGAGAGAGTGAGAGAGTGAGGGAGAGTGAGAGAGAGTGTGAGGAGAGAGTGAGGAAGGAGAGTGAGGAGGAGAGAGTGAGGAGAGAGTGAGGAGAGAGTGAGGAGAGAGTGAGGAGAGTGTGAGGAGAGAGTGAGGAGAGAGTGAGGAGAGAGTGAGGAGAGAGTGAGGAGAGAGTGAGGAGAGAGTGAGGAGAGAGTGAGGAGAGAGTGAGGAGAGAGTGAGGAGAGAGTGAGGAGAGTGTGAGGAGAGAGTGAGGAGAGAGTGAGGAGAGAGTGAGGAGAGTGTGAGGAGAGAGTGAGGAGAGAGTGAGGAGAGTGTGAGGAGAGTGTGAGGAGAGTGTGAGGAGAGTGTGAGGAGAGTGTGAGGAGAGAGTGAGGAGAGTGTGAGGGCATCTGTGTCAAACTCACCGTCACTGGGCTGAGTCTTCTTGGTCTTCTGCTCCTTCTTGGTCTCCTCTTCACCTGAGGTCAGAGGTCAGAGGTGAGGGGTCAGGGGTCTCAGCTCCAGGTGTTGTAAATGTTTCATATACAATTGTTTTTACCCAGAGGAGGTTTGAGGAAGCGTCTTTCGATTCCCCGTTCGATCTGACCCAGAGCAGCGGCCAGAGCCCTGACGACGCCGCCGCCGCCGCCGCCGCCGCCTACAGACCAGGCGCTGAGGCTGGGGACGAGACAAGGGGGGAGGGTCAGTCCTGGAGGTCACACTCACACCTGTCACACACTCACACCTGTCACACCTGTCACACACACTCACACCTGTCACACACACTCACACCTGTCACACACTCACACTCACATCTGTCACACACACTCACTTGTCACACCTGTCACTCACTCACACCTGTCACACACACTCACACCTGTCACACACACTCACACCTGTCACACACACTCACACCTGTCACACACACTCACACCTGTCACACACACACTCACACCTGTCACACACACTCACACTGTCACACACTCACACTCACATCTGTCACACACACTCACCTGTCACACCTGTCACACACTCACACCTGTCACTCACCTGTCACTGTCCACCTCCATCATTTGGTCCTCACAGTTGTCAATCAAAGTGTGGTACTGACCCACCTCCAGCGCCGCCCGCCACACCTGCCGCTCCGGCACCTGCCCACACACACACACACGTTGGGTTTCCAGGCTTGTTGGGGACACTCTGTGGACCTCCAGGTGTTTCCTGAAATCTGACCAGAACCTGAACCAGAACCTGAACCTGAACCTGAACCAGAACCTGAACCAGAACCTGAACCAGAACCTGAACCCTGATGTTTGTCGTGTCTTTCTCCAGTCTGAGTCAGAGCCGCTAAATGTGATGTACGGTTTCACAGGTAGAACACGCAGCTGCGTCACGGGTAGAACACGCAGCTGTTTCTGGATTCAAACCATGAAAACACAGTGCAGCTGGCGGCGCAGGCGCCCGACGCAGATCCAACAATGACTCAGACTGAGAATAACAGATCTAATCTGACCTTGAGTGAGCCAAGCGTGCCCTGTGACCTCTGACCTTGAGTGACCCCAGCGTGCCCTGGTGAACTCGATCCTCGATGTCCAGCAGCAGGTCTCTGAGTTTGGCCTCCATCACAGACTCGGCCGCAGTGCACTCTGGGAAACGCTGTTCCTCTGAAACACACAACGCACAAGGTCAGGGGTCACGGGTCAGGGGTCACGGGTCAGGGAGACATTGAACCAAAGTCTCATTTATAAAACTTCATCTATGTTTAGTTTGAGTTTTAGTAAAAACTAAACACACAAACTTTATGAACCCACATCTGTTCTGACAGGTGCCTCCGTCAGGGCCTCACCTGTGTGTCGTGGTCTCACCTATGTGTCTGTACTTGTTCTCACCTGTGTGTCGTGTCTCACCTGTGTGACGTGTCTCACCTGTGTGTCTGTACTTGTCGTGGTCGCAGGTCTGCAGGGCGTGGGTGATTCGTTCTCTCTCGTGGTTGAGCGCCTCCTTCAGGCCGCTCTCTCTGTGTCCTCGAGGGTTCAGACTCTGCAGAAGCTGCTCCAGATGCTCCACCCTCCAGAAGAACCACCAGCGGGGGGCGGGGCCAGGGCTCTGGGGGGCGGGGCCAGGGCTCTGGGAGGTGGAGTCCAGGCAGATGGGGGCGGGGTCAGGGCTCTGGGGGGCAGAGTCCAGGCAGATGGGGGCGGAGTCAGGGCTCTGGGGGGCGGAGTCCAGGCAGATGGGGGCGGGGTTAGGGCTCTGGGGGGCGGAGTCCAGGCAGATGGGGGCGGGGCTGGAGGTGGTGCTGAAAAATAGTTAAAAACTCTTTTAGAGAAGAACAAGAGAAAAGAGAAACGAGAAGAACGAGAGGAACGAGAGGAGCAGTAGACACCTGAGATCTGACCACAGATCAGAGTTTACTACCTTTTTTATTGTCTCAACTACAGACTCACCTCAAAACATCAAACCACCAAACATCAAATCACCAAACATCAAACCACCCCAGACCCCGGGCCCAGACCCCAGACCCCAGACCCCAGGCCCAGATCCAGACCCAGACCCCGGGCCCAGACCCGTGGAGTCTGGTCACAGCGTGAGCTTCGGGTTTATGACCTTTGTCATTTCCCTGTGACCGTCCCGACCTGTCGTCTCCTCTCACCTGACGCCATTTTCCTCCATGGCGGTGTCCTCCGAGGCGCCGTTACACGCCGCGTGGTGAGCGTGGTGAGCGCGCTGGGCGGCGGCGGTGGCGGTCTCGGGCCGGGTCATGTCTGCGGTCAGTCCAAACGTGTCCTCCTCCACAAACAGAGCCGACTGAGACGGGAGGAGCCAG